CAAGGCAGGCAGGTGGCTTGGGAGGCTCCGTGCTTGAGGGAGGAAGGCACCCACGTCGCTCTGTCCCTGCAGGGGCTCCTCAGGCGTGCAGAACGGCTTGCTGGTGGTGAACATGCTGATCGACAGCCACCGGGGCCTGGCAGAGCAGCTGGCAAGCTGCGATCTCCCCACGGTGCTGCAGAGCTGCTGGTGGGACGGGCAGAGCACCGGCTGCCCTCACGCGATGCTGGCCCTGAGCGTGATCAACCGCCTCGCGGAGCACCGGCTACCCACAGGCCCGAAGACGGCAGGTAGCGTGCCGCCCGCACCGCCTGCCGTGCCACGGCCCCACGGATGCAGCGGGCCGGGCTGCCTCGCCTGGCAGGGCAGAGCACACCCCGCTGGCGCCTCTCAAGCGAGTGCCTGGGCTGGGCCCATGTGTCCTTGTCGTGGCAGGCAGAGAGGCCCCACTGGACCTGAGGGACATGCGGATGCTTCTGGGCGGCCTGGGGGACGGCGTCTTGTCCAAGGACGTGGTGGTGGCCCTGGAGCGGCAGCTCTGTGGTGAAGGCCCCATCCCCTCTGGCGAGGCGGCCCAGCTGCTGCAGGACCAGAGGTGCTTCAGGCTGCTGCTGCGCAGCTTTGAGCTGCTGGGGGCGGAGAAGGCCGTGAGCCTGAGCATCCTCAGGTGGGTGCAGGGGGATTTGGTGGGGGTCTGGGGCCTCCGCAGCAGGCGTGTGAGTGCTGGTGGTGATGTTGGGGGGATGTGGCGCATGTTTGTGGGTCCTGGTGGGGCTGTTCTTCACCGTCACAGGGGCAGGTGCACCCCAGCACCTATGCGGGTGCTGATTGGGGTGTCCTGGGGCGCAGGGCCATGTGGGGACAGAGCGGCACGTGCCTGGGTGCTGGTGGGGACACGCAGGGGCAGCGCAGCACGTGCCCCGGTGCTGTTGGGGTGTCCGAGGTGCCTGGGGAGCCTTGGCTCGCAGTCCCTGTGGGGTGCTGGCCTTCCCAGTGGGGCAGGGAAGCAGGGCTGCCTCTGGCACCGCTGTCTGTGTGCCCCGGCGTGAGTGGGCTCCCTCCATCACTCAGGGTCCTGAACAAGTTCCTGGACGGTTACCAGGAGGATGTGCTGCCCTGGCACGAGTGTGTGGAGCCCTGTTTGTCCTCCCTGAGTGCCCACAGCAGCGACCGGGAGGTGAGGGGGCCCCGGGACTCCCGGCGAGCAGGGGCGGCTTTGCTGGCTGTGCCGTGCCTCGGCCGGGCCTGGCATTGGTGAAGCGGGGTCCCCGCCTGCAGCAGCCCGGCCTTGTTGTGGCCCAAGTGTTGGGAGAGTTGGGGAACGACTGGCCCGGCCGTGGCCGCGTCCCGGTGGCAGGTGTGCCCAGCCAGGCTCTCGCAGGGGCTGCTGCAGTGTCGGGGCGGAGGGGATGGAGCATGGCAGCACCCAGCTGCTGGGGCCTGGCGGGTGGCCGGCGCCAGCCCGGCCGCTCACGGCTGCCTGCTCAGCAGGTGGTGCAGGAGGTCGTTGGCTTCCTGCACCGCCTGGCCACCGCCAGCAAGGACTGCGCGGTGGTGATGTGCCGCGTGGGCACCCGCGAGGCTCTGTCCAAAGCCCTGGCCAAGCACAGCACGGCCCCGTCGCTGGCGCCAGCCCTGCTCGACCTGGTGATTGACTGCGAGAAGTACGCCAGTCTCTACAAGAAGCTGACGACCAGCATCTTGGCTGGCTGCATCCAGGTGGGCGGGGAGCTGTGGCTGCGCTGGGGCTCTGGGTCCTGGGGCCATGCAGCTGTGCCCTGCACCGAGGGGCAGCCTTCTGCTCTCTGCCTGCTGCAGCCCTGCGGTGAGCGAGGGGAGCAGGGCCCAGGGCCCCCAGTAAGAGCCTTGCCCCATCCCGTAGCTGGTCCTGGAGCTGATTGAGGAGCACCGTCGGAGCCACCGGCCCATCAGCATCCCCTTCTTTGACGTCTTTCTACGCAACCTGTGCCGAGGTGAGCGTGGGGAGCGGGAGCTGGAGCCCTGTGTCTGGCATGTGCTGGCCTGGGGGCTGGAGGCTCCATGTGCTCTCCCCGCAGGCTCCAGCGTGGAGGTGAGGGAGGACAAGTGTTGGGAGAAGGTGCAGGTCTCCTCCAACCCGCACCGGGCCAGCAAGCTCACGGACGGGAACCCCAAGACGTACTGGGAGTCGAACGGCAGCACCGGCTCCCACTTCATCACTGTCCACATGCAGTGTGGTGTGGTGGTCAGGTGGGGCTGGGCCGGGAGGGCCAGCGGCTGCGCAGGGAGGAGGGGGCTTTGGGGACCTGTGCGAGCCCTGCCCCAGTGGTCCCCATCCTGGGGGTTGCTGGATGTGGGCAGCGGTGCGTGGGGCTGGCAGGGGCGAGGGCAGGGAGGAGGGGACTGGTGGGCAGCACGGTGTTTGCTGCGCTGCAGGGAGATGAGCATGCTGGTGGCCAGCGAGGACTCGAGCTACATGCCGGCCCGTGTGGTGGTGCTGGGGGGAGACAGCCCTGCCACCATCAGGACTGAGCTCAACGCGGTGAGTCTTGCGCGGGCTGCTCAGGCCGTGGGGCCCCACGGGAGCGGTGGGCTGGTCCTTGCTGTGCCCCGTGAAGGTCTCGCCCTGGTGCCGGGGCCCTGGGGGTTCCCCACGGGGAGGTGGGAATGGCAGGAGCTGTGCTGCGGGAGCCTCCTCCTGGCTGTCGGCAGTGGGTGCTGGGCATGGGCAGCCCTGCAGCCCAGTCTGCAGCAGGCTGGTGTGCTGGGGCTGTGAGCCAGAGGTGGGACCCTGGCAGGGGGTGCCCTGCGGCTGCGTGGGCTGCTGGGGGGGGACAGCGGCCATGGCTTTAATGGGGGTGGCCAGGGGAGCATGCAGGGTGGCTGGCGCTCGCTGCCTGGCGTGCTGAGGGCTCGCTGTGTGCCTGCAGGTGACCGTCCTGCCCTCGGACAGCAAAGTGATCCTGCTGGAGAACATGACCCGCTTCTGGCCCGTCATCCAGATCCGGGTGAAGCGGTGCCAGCAGGTAGGGGAGCAGGGGGCCGGGCCACGGAGCGGGCAGCGTGGGGCGTCAGGGCTGAGGAGCTGAGGGTCGTGCTCTCCCGTAGGGTGGCTTTGACACAGTCAGGGCTGAGGAGCTGAGGGTCGTGCTCTCCCATAGGGCGGCATTGACACTCGTGTGCGTGGCATCGAGGTGCTGGGTCCCAAGCCCACTTTCTGGCCCATCTTCAGGGAGCAGCTGTGCCGGCGGACGTTCCTCTCCTGCACCGCTCGGGCTCACGCCTGGTGCCAGGAGATCTGCCAGGACCGGGGGCGACTGCTGCAGCTCTTTGGCAGGTGAGTTGTCTCCTGGCTGCGCCATCGCGTCCCCGCTGTCCCAGGGCCTGGGGAACGGTGCTGGCAGCCCGCGAGGGGCCTGCAGGGCCAGGAGAGGAGCAAGCGGGTGTCCCACCTGGACAGGGAGGGTCCCTCGCTCCTCCCTGGCCACCGGTGGTCCCAGAGGGCCAGGGCCACCTTGGGGTCCCCCAGGTTTAAGCTGGGCATGGCTAGCGCACCACAGAGGTGCCCCGCAGGGGCCGGTGTTTCCTGACCTGGTGGAGATCGGTCAGGAGCAGGCAGGATCTGGGTGCTGCACAGCCCCTGAGTTTGGTGGGGGCTGCAAGGGCCCCAAGGCCCAGTGCAGGCAGGGCCTGGGGGCAGTGAGGGGCCCTGGCTGCTGGGGGCAAGTGGGGCTGCTGAGCTGTCGTGCCTGGCAAGGGGCAGGGCAGGGAGCGAGTGCTGTGCTCTGCTTTCCTGGGGGAGTCCTGTCGGCCGGTGCCCGGAACCCCTGTGTGCTGCCCGGTCGCTGTTGCAGGCTGAACCGGGTGCTGCGGCATGAGCAGGGCTTCGCCGACCACTTCCTTCCTGACGACGAGGCGGCCCGGGCCTTGGGCAGGACGTGCTGGGAGGCCCTGGTGAACCCCTTGGTGCAGAGCATCACCAGCCCAGGTAGCCCACGCTCTCCCGGGCCCGTCTGCGCCATGCCCCAGGCTGAGGCACCCCGCTCTGAGTCTGGTTGGCCTCGCAGACCCCCATGGCGTCAGCCCCCTGGCCTGGCTGCTGAGCGAGTACCTGGAGAGCGTGGAGCCGCCCCACCGCCCCACGAGCCGCGGTGCTGTCTTTGGTTCCCGTGTGCGGCGCCTGACCCAGCTCCTGGTGCACGTGGACCCCGAGGGCCCAGAGCCAGAGGAGGCAAGAGCAGCTGGTGAGCGAGGGGCTGCCCTCCCATGGGGCTGGCAGGGCTGGCAGGATGGTGGTCCAGAGTGCCAGGCTGTGGCCGTGGGGATCTGCTGGGGAGCTCTGGGGAGGGCCCTGTGGCACAGGAGGCTCCCGAGCCGGGGAAGGCTCGTGGCTGTGCCCCGGCAGTGGCCATACCTCCCCGGCATCTCCTCTGCCCTGTGACCCCAGGGAGAGGGGGAGGCTGCTGGCGGTCAGCGTGCGGAGCCTGCCCACGGAGCCGTGCTGAGCCCGAGGTTGTCCCTTGGTAGGCAGGAAGGAGGGGAAGAACAAGGAGGTGCCGGCCAGGGCTGCGAAGGTGGTGGTGGAGAAGTCAAGCAGCCTGTGGAGCATCTCGCAGTGCTGGCGTGGCGTGGTGCAGCAGCAGGTAGAGCTTGGAGGGCCGGGCGTGGGGGCCGGAGAGGGTGTGTGGGACCCCGCAGCGGGCGGGCGTAGCGGGGAGTGGGGCCTGGTGGTGCCCTGGGAGCGTGGGGAGGGTGCGGGGCTGTACCTGGCCTCCGCCGAGTCCGAAGGGGTGTGGGGACGGCCCTGCCACGCTTGCCACCCTGGCAGGGCTGAGGCGTCAGCCTGGCCCTGCGCCCAGGCTGGTGCTGCAGGCTGGGAGACAGGTGCAGTGTCGGGCTACTTGTTCCCTGCTGGGCTGCTGCTGCGCTTCTGTCCTGCCCCCGCAGCCCCTGCCCAGCCCTCGGGGCTGCGCTGCTGCCTGGCTGCAAGCTCTCAGTAGCCGGCGGCAGCACCGGGGCCTCTGGTCAGCCCCTGGCCGGGACCTGGGCAGCTGGTGGTGGCAGAGTGAGGCTGGGGCTGTGGGCATTCCCGGAGCCACGGGCGCATCCCGCTGTGGGGCTCACCCTTCTCGTGGCACGTCCTGCTATGGGGCTTACCCCTCTCGTGCTGCGTCCCACAGGTGCAGCAGTTCCTGGAGGCGGCAGGGCAGGCACCGGACCTTGTGGAGCGATACTGCGGGCTGTACCAGCGGCTGCGTGGCGCCACGGAGGAGCTCTTTGGGCAGCAGGCCGCCTTTGTGCTGGCCCTGGGCCAGGGCTTTGCGGGCGCTTTGCTGCAGCTCTCCTTCCTCACCACCCTGCACGTGAGTGGAGGGAGCGTGGCACCAGCGCCGGGGTCCTGGGCGCAGGCTGGGGAGTCTGTCCTGGCCCACGGCCTCGGGGCGAGCTCCGGGTGGGCGGTGTGGTGGCCCTGGACGGTGCCCAGCTGTGGGTGTGCGGCACTTGTCGCGGCGTGGCCCCAGCCCCAGTGTGCTCGGGCCTCAGGCTGGTGCCTGGGCACCCTTTGCCCCTGCCCGAGAGCCCCGGGTTTCCCAGCTGCTCCCCCCAGGGACGTTCCCCCAGCCCGGCCCCGTGGGCACCCTGTGAGCCCCCTCCGCAGCCAGCCCTGTCCCTCTGCAGGTGAGCGAGCAGTTTGCCCGCTACCTTGACGGGCAGATCCAGGAGCTCCACGGGGCTGTGGGCAGCGCAGGGCCGCTGCAGCGGCTGCAGCAGATCCTGGAGCCCTTTGTCGTCTTCAGTGGCCTGGAGCTCGCCCACGCCTTTGAGCACTTCTACCGGTGAGGGGTGCCATGTCTCCACGGGACCAGAGGGCCTGGTGCGGGGTGGTGTGGCGTGGCGGGGGAGGCGCAGGCGGCGCTGAGGCCGTGGCTGAGCCTGGCCTGGTGTGGCAGCGGTGCTCCCGCTTTGCTTTTCCCGGCTCTGGCATGGGGAGGGAAAGGCTGTGAGGGGCCCGTGGGCGCTGCCAGTCTGCGGAGGCACATTCCCTGCTGGTGGCAGGGAGGGGAGGCGGGCACTGCCAGGTCCGTGCGGCTTGGGGTGAGGCCAGGGCCGGGGCCGTCTCTGTCTCCTGGCGGGTGGCTGATGGTCACGGGGCTCGGGCCGGCCCCTGACCTGACGCTGGCGGCTGTGGCAGGCACTACCTGGGGGACCGGCTCCTGGCACAAGGCCCGTCTTGGCTGGAAGGAGCCATCGTGGAGCAGATCGGGCTGTGCTTCCCCAGCCGCTTGCCCCAAGAGATGCTGCGCAACTTGGCCGAGTCGGAGGAGCTCCAGCAGCAGTTTTACCTCTTCCGGCTGCAGGAGCAGGACAAGCGGCTGCTGGAGCTGGACGCGGACCTGGACGAGGTGAGCGTGCGGGTGGGGTGGGGAGGCTGGGGGCTGCCCGCGTTCCTCACAGGGACCCCGGGGCCTGTCCTGAGCCGCCCTCGTGTCCACGTGCCCAGGCACCGGGGATGGCCTCGGTGACAGATGTGCCGGAGGTGAAGGTGCTGGCCCTGTCCCCGCGCTGCTGGCCCGTTTCCCCGTCCTGCTACATGGATGAACCTGGGAGGTTTTTCTCGGTGGCCCTGAGCTCCCCCCTGGATGAGTTTGCCGTCTTCTGCAGGCGGAGTGAGTGCCGCGGCAGTGGGTGTGCGTGGGGGTCTCGCCGGGGCCCAGGCCCTCCACAGCAGCTCGGGCGGGAGTGGTGGGAGTGCTGGGGCGAGCTGGGAGCGCCCGGCAGGGCTGGCCCCCGGCCCTTGCGCTGATGCCGTCTCTGGCAGGCCAGAGCCAGCTGGGCTGGGAGTGCACGAAGCCCCGGCGGCTGCAGTGGACGTGGCTGGGCCATGCCGAGCTGCAGTTTGGAGACTGCGTCCTCCACGTGTCCACGCTGCAGATGTACATCCTGCTGTGCTTCAACAGCGCCGAGGTAGGAGCTGGGGCCGCGGTGGGGTGAGGGAAGCAGCGGCTGCTGGAGCGCGGCGGGGCCATGCCCTCCCTTCCGGTGGGGTCTGCAGTGGTGTTTGGGGCACAGCCCCGCCGTGTTCGGCTGTGCCTGCGGCTGGAGGGTCTCGGCTGGCCATTCCCCTCCACGCCCTCCTGCAGGAGGTGGCTGTGGAGGCCCTGCTGCAGGCTACGGGGCTCCCTGCTGACCTGGTGCAGCACGCGCTGGCACCGCTGACCCGCGGCGAGGGCGTCCTGGTGCGGAGCTGCACGCCGGGAGGTGAGTGTGGGGCTGGGGCACCCCGGGGAGGTGCTGGTCTGAGCCGCAAGTGGGTGTGGGGGTAGGGGTGCTTGTGGGGCGCTTGTAGGGGAAGCGAGTGGGCTGGGGTGAGTCTGTCCGTGGGTGCTGGGGGCACAGGTCTGTGTGTCAGGTTGGGGCCTGAGGCCGTGTGTGGGGCTGGGGGTGGTGCTTGGGGCCGTGCGTGGGGCGTGGGTCGGCGTGGGTGGTCGGGTCTCGGGTCTGCGTGTGGGGTTGGGGAGCGGGGCCAGGGGTTGTACGTGTGGCTGTTGTTTGGGGCCACGTGTGGGGGAGAGGGATGGGGCTGACAGCTGTGAAGGCAGCAGCGGGAGGCCCAGGGCTGGGTCCAACAGCCACACGCGTGTCCTGGGGCTCCTCCAGGGCTCAGCTCGGGGCTTGGCTGACCCTGGGCCGGGTGCTAGCTCCAGGTGCGCTGCAGCTGAACCGGGCAGCCCTGGCCCATGCCTCTGGCCGCCACCTGAGGCTGCTGCCCCAGCAGAGGTACCTGCGGGCGGAGAGGGCTGAGGTCAGCGCCCTGGAAAGGAAGAGGAACGTGCTCTGCTGCCTCATCACCCGCATCCTCAAGGTGGAGAAGCAGCTCCACATTGACAACCTGGTGTTTAGGGTATGGAGGGCTTGAGGGGCAGAGGGGGGCCGCCTGAGTGCTGCGCTGCGCTGCAATGTGGGGCTGCCTTGCTGCTCTAGGTGATTGATGCCTGTCAGAAGGGTGAGTTGGGTCCAGGGCTGCAATTCCTGAGCTTCTGCTGCCACAGTGTGGACGTGCTGTCCTGTGTCCTGCACCTGCTGCACCAGGGCT